TGCCCCCATGCTTAGGCACACCGCCTTCCTCCTCCAGGTTTTCTCAAATCTTACTCCATACCATTTTTCTAAACACACCCTTATCTCCTTTCCCAAAAAAAAAAAAAAAAAAAAAAAAAAAAAAAAAAAAAAAAAAAAACCCACATCCACCTTCCTATAAACTTCCCTCCAGCCAAGCCCACCAAATTTTCGCCTTTTGCTCACTTTACACCCTATCCCTAGAGCTGTCAATGCGGGCTGGCGGGGCGGGCTAAAAAGCCTGCCAAGAATACGGGCCTAGGTAGGGGCAGCCCGCCCCACCCCCCCTTAGGCCCGCGGGCCCCCGCCAAAGCCCGCCTCTTTTTCTTTTTTTTTTTTTTTTAAATCGTGTGTGAAGTGTCCCTAAAATCTAAACTCTAATGTGACTATGTAAATAACTTAATTGCTATCTACTTAAAATACTTATTCACAAGAAAATAACATAAATTCGTTCATCACAACATGACAACAATGACACCAATAGGGGTAAGTATAATTACTGAAAAAGCGATAACCGATAACCGAACCGACGGATAATTTCGATTAACGGTTATAAGGCAAAAAAAAAAAAAATCAGTTATTCAACTATTCGATTATGAAGGTGTAATAACCGCGAACACCGAATAACCGATACTATTATATATATTATTATATTATACATATTATATATATATATATATATATATATATATATATATATATATATATATATATATATATATATATATATATATATATATATATATATATATAGGGGAGCCTTCAAGTAAGAACCTTTTGTTAGGTAGGAACTTAGGAACTAATCCTAGCCATATAAATTTGCTTAATCAATGGTCTAGATAATTAAACATTTTATTTACATCTTACACATAATTAATTAAAAAAGGATATTAGTGTAATTTAGTCCAACTATCAATTAAAATCAAATATTATATTTAGATTCTTTCCTTGATTTTAGGATAACAAGATAAGGAAGGACTCCTAATGATTGTTTTATCTGCATTCCACTAGTTTACGACAGGGGAAGAAGCACGTACGTTCAGAGTTCATACGACCTAGAAGAGAGATGTAGGCCAGCGTTCATCAGCAGCTATTGCAGAACGATGGCAAGCGACGAAAATGCAGGAAACATTAAAAATTGTCCCTTTATACCTGTACATTCGTCCAATTTAGATTTATTTGAATAAACCCATTCGTGCTGCTCCGTGGAAGCCTACGATTGACTGAAAAGTGCTACTGCGTTTGTAGACACTCTTAATTGGTTGGGAATGTTGAACAAGAATTGGGTGGGGACATATAATGGCTCTACCGTTTTTGAAAACGCAGTGTTACGGCACACACCGAATCATGCAAGTGCACAACATTGTCTTATTAGAATATGATTTTCTTGAATACATTGTGCCAGTATGTTTGGTGGGCAGTATGGCACAAGCATCAGTACCTAAGTGCACACTCTAACGTTTTCCGTCTTGTCATACACACACTAATCCTACATATTTGGACACACACTACGTTACCCAAGTGCACACTCAAATGTTTTCCATCTTGTCATACACACACTAATTCAGCACACTTTGGCACATACTACTTTACCCAAGTGCACACACTATACCCACCTGGGTTGTGTGCACCCACGACTTCAGGTAAGTGCACACACGGTAATCACGTAGCACATATTGATTAATTTGTTCGTGTATAAATAAACGTAGAACAAATTGATTAAACAAGCTTATATATGTATTTGGGATAAATTGTGAGAAACGTAATGTTGCAAGAAGTGTGTTTTTTGAAAAAAAAAATAGTACAGGTTATGGTGTACCTGGGTTAAACTGAGTGTGCTATAATGTCTAGGATTAGTGTGTCCATGACCAGACATACACTTTAATCTGTGTGTGAGATAATGTGTAGAATCAACTTGGTCATGAACAGGAGTGCAGTTTGATTTATCTGTCCGGGGAGAAACTCTAAGAGTTCAAACCCACTCGGTGTGTGCACTTACGTGAAAATTGTTGTGCCAAAATGTTTAAACTGTCAACGAACAAAAATGAGAACCCGGAGTTGGTGTGCACATGGGTAATGCTATGTGTGCCAAAGTGTGCAACCGTACTAATAGTTTGAAACCATGGAAACCAGGATGAGTTGCTACACTAGGGTGTGCACTTGGGGTTCACGTGTGTGCCACAATACCCATAATTAGTTTATGGACAAAAAAGCATACAAGAAAGTGGTGTGCACTTGGGGTTCACGTGTGTGCCACAATACCCATAATTAGTTTATGGACAGAAAAGCATACAAGAAAGTGGTGTGCACCTGGGTTACACCATGTGTGCCATATTGTGAAACGTTATTGTGACCATGAACTAGCGTTCACTTAGGTTGATATGTGCAAACCACTGTGTGCTAAAATTCTACTAGGTTGAATCACCGGAAATCAGGTTCATTACTTCATGTTACACATTCATGTGTGCACTAGCCTTAAAATGTCAATGCCATAACGTAGAGTTTGAGTGTGTGCATAACAGCAATGTGTGTTCCAAAATGTGCAAACGTATTAATAGAATGTAGTCGCGGAAGCCAGATTGACACTATCAGCAGAATGTAGCTCTTAGGTTGAACTGTGAGAGCCATAATGTTAAAAAAAATGATAATTTGAACCCACGTAACTTAGGGTGATGTTAAAGATATCGTTGTGCACATGGGTAAAATTGCTTGTGCCATAACGTACAGAAAGAGCATTTGGATAAACATACGGTGAACGAGGTGTTGTGCAGATGGGTTATACTACTTTGTGTGCCATACTGCATTGTGTGTTTCAATTTGAGCAATATATAGTAACCATTGGTGTGCACTTTGGGCTCACGTGTGTGTCATAATACCTATAATTAGTTTATGGATAAAAAGGCGTACAAGAAGGTAATGTGCACCTGGGTTACATCATGTGTGTCATATTGTGAAGCGTTATTGTCCATGAACTGACGTACACTTATGTTGATCTATGTGTGGATGTCAATGTATGATAAAACTCTACTAGGTTGAATCACCGAAAATTAGGTTCAAGTTATACACTCCTATATGTACTAGCCTTAAATGTATGTGCCATAACGAACGTAGAGTTTGAGTGTGTGCGAAATTGGAAGGTGTGTGCCAAATTGGGCGAATATATTAATAGAATGTAACCGCGGAAGCCATATTGACACTAATACTAATAAGAGTAGTGTGCACAAGGGTTGTTCTGTGTGTGCCAAAATGTGCTTTCTTTATTTATATACGGGAAAATGAGAAACAAGATGACGTGCCGTTGTGATGATTTGTGAGTGTCATGCATTCAAACACATTCTGGTAAAGAATAAAATCTTGTATTACTTTAATGCTCATATTCTCTTTCCATTCACCATCACCTGGAAAATGAATATAAAGCTACTAAAGAACTATCAAATGGAGAGAAAGAAGCAATTCCATGCCAGTCTCTCCACTAAAGCAGCTTTTTAGAAGTGATTGCTACAAACCTTATGATTTCAATCTCATAAGAACCTTATGATTGCTACAGCTTTTCACACGGCTTAATTCAGTTTCCCACAGCTCACTACTGAATTCAATGCTAAAAAAAGAACGACCCCTTTTCAGAAATAATTGCTACAAACCTTATGATTTCTAAATAAATACTAAAATTCAAACACATTTTGGTCTTCAAAGTTGAAACCTTTCCGATCACTAGTAATGTATAATTAAACATTTAAAAACGATGCACCTTCCGGAAGTTGGAGATGCGGTGATATCATGCATGTACAGAAGATGAGGACTTCTGGTAAAACCAGTGGAGTGCCATGACAGCCTTTCTCCTACAGCCTCCTTGGGGCGCCCCAACAGCTCCGTCACTTGAGGCAGCACTACGGAGATTGTCTCCTCATTAATCAATTTGAAAATTGACCTTGAACGGATGCCCTTGTCGCCGGAAGAGGACTATTGGGATTCCCACCATGCACGCCGGCTATCTACTTGAGAATAGAACCAGGCAAACGAGAGAGAGGACGACTAAAAATGGCGTGCGGTAGTCGAGTTTGCGAAGGAATCCAACAAAATTCGAAATTACCGTTTGACTGTGAGAAGAGAAGCCGACTATTACGCCAACACACCAACCGATCTGTAATTGAAAATACTAAACTACCCCTAATTCGCTTAAAATAAATCCTTCTAGCGTAAAATAACCTAATTAAGCTATTAAAAATATGGACCATTGATTGATTAAGATAAATGGCTAAGATTAGTTCCTATGTTCCTATCTAAAAATGGGTTCTTATATGAATCTAATTCTATATATATATATATATATATATATATATATATATATATATAGGGTCGAGTTCAAATTAGGACAACAATATATAGAGGACTGTGAGGACAAATAATGGGCACACAACAAATTAATACCAGGCACACAACTTAATACATAATGGCTCTATATGTAATATATGTAACCATCAGGTTTCGAACTCAGGCTCTATTAATTAAAAAATCTATGCGCGCGACATACAAACTGTGGCACACAACTTCATTCGGCCATGCACACGACATACAGACTAATGGCACACACTACATCTGTCCTCACAATCCTCTATAATATACTTTTCCTCATATGAACTCAGGTCTATATATATATATATATATATATATATATATATATATATATATATATATATATATATATATATATATATATATATAGGGTGGTTTTCTGGTGCAAACCACTTGTTTTTGTGTGAACATGTGCACTCATCTGACGCGTTGATTTTTTGTATCCATCAGCCCACGATGAACGTCCAGCCCGCTACGGTACACAGGCACGCGTGTTAATTACTCTTGCAAATTTGTATTTCTGTTTATGTGGGAATACGACTCCAGTTATGAATGTTCCCCCTATATTTTCAATCACCACCCCGCTGACATATTGAACTCCGACTGTGCTGGTTACGTACATGGTGACGATGGAGATTCACGGCGATGGAACCCCGACGGCTGGTGCGGCGGAGCATTATCCCACAGGTACCCCCCCCCCCCTTCCATCTGTGTTGCTGTGTTCATCGTTTCATCGCACTCCGTTAACTACAGTTAAACCCCTCCCTCCTTTCCTATCAATTCTCTATATATACACCATTCTCTTTACTCTTTGACTCCCACTCCCACAACACATCTCTGATTGGTTTAAATTCCAAAGTTTATCAATGGCTTCAATGGCTTCGTTAAGTATTCCCGTAATTTTTTATTTGCCCCATGCGCTTAATGATGGTTTAACGTTACCAGCCCCCTGTGATTAATTTATATGGGTTTCATTCACTGTTTAGAACTATAGCAAACCCAAGCAAAGTTTGGCATTGAATATTAATGGTTAAAGAAACAATGTTCCATACTAAGGTGTTGTGGTGACACTGTAATTGGTAATCTGCATTTGTTCTTAATTGAATGTAACTGGGATCTATCATTTAAATGTTGTTATTATTGGGAACTATCATTCAAGTAGTTCTGTATTATGGATTTTTGCTCCCACATGTAGATTATAATTACCTAGGTTCTGCTAGCCTAACATGATATTCGCCAGCCTACAATGATAACAAAGTTTGGAGGAAAAGATGATAATCTGGACTGTTTTTAAGTTTGTATTTATGTTGTTATTCAGATTATATAGTAATGTAATTAATCGAATGCTATAATTAATGTGTTGGTGCGACTATTACAGGCTCAATTGATGGTGATTCAAGTACTAGGGATGTAACGCACTACACGCCGGGCCCTACCACCGGCCTGAAACAACACTGGAAGCCCACCGTAGACACTAAAATCATACCTGTACGCGGGCAACGTTTTAAATCACTATCTGAAGGGATTGAATTCTACAAGAACTACGGACGTGTTGGTGGTTTTGACATTAGGCACAGCAGTGTTAAGCGAGATCGGGCCGGGGCAATTATTCGGCGTTCTTTAGTTTGTAGCAGGCAAGGAGCGAAAGGAGGTGGTAGGAGGGTACCCACCGTAGTCGTCAATGTTACTAGTAGTAGCAATAAGCAACGCCGAAGAAGGGTTTCTAATAGAGTCGGGTGCAATGCCAAGCTTGGGTTGAAGGAAAATAGTACTGGGGAGTTTGTGGTAACTAAATTTGTCGAGGACCACACTCATAGTCTGTGCTCTGAGGGTGCTAAATTATTTATGTGGGGTAACAGGAAACTTAATGTAGCCCAACAGGCATTTTTAGCCAACTGTTTTAAAGCTAATGTGGGCGCTTCTACAGGGATGAGGTTATGTAGGGAAGTAGCGGGTTCATTTGAGAACGTTGGTGCAATGTATGTGGAGTTTCATAATTTTAAACGGGACTTGCAAGCGTATGTGGATGAAGTTGATGGTGAGTTGATTATCGAAAGGTTCAAAACCAAGCTTGAAGTCTGTGACAGCTTCTTTTACGATTACCATCTCGACGAAGAAAATCGACTTGCACGACTCTTTTGGGCCGACCCTATTAGTAGGAGGAGTTTTTCCTGTTACGGTGACGTGATTTCGTTTGATGCCACGTACAGCACGAACAGGTGTGTAGCAGATTACATTTTAAATGCATAGTACTAGATTGCATTCTTGTTTATACTACCCATACTAAATTACAATCTCCATACCAATACATGGTTAAACCCCATATTGATGATAGAACTTTCCGTCTTTACTTGTTTGCATTGCCCTGTCATTGCAGGTACAACTTGGTGTTCATACCATTTACTGGAGTAGACAACCACAAACGATGCATCACTGTTGCTGCGGGGCTGCTCAATAAAGAAGACGTGGAATCGTATAGTTGGCTATTAGAAAGATTCATTCATGCAATGGGAAATGCCCCCCTATGTGTTGTCACCGATCATGACCCCGCTATGAAGATTGCTATAAGACAGGTTTTACCCGGGTGCAGTCACCGTTATTGCATGTGGCACATTATGACGAAGGTTGGTGAAAAAGTCGGGCCTGAGTTATCAAACAATGAGGTATTCCGCAAGAGTTTGAATGATATTGTGTGGAGCGAAACAACCTCCACCGGTGACTTCGAAGTGCAATGGCAACTGCTAAGGGAGAAATACAACTTATCTTATCATCGTTGGTTCCAGAGCTTGTATGCAGATAGGGATCATTGGATTCCTGCTTTTTTATAGATTCTCCCTTGAGTGGGTTGGTTCGCACCACATCTCGGTCCGAAGCACAAAACAATGTTTATGGGAAATTCACAAGCCTCCATTCTAGTTTGGTAGAGTTCTACATGCAGTTCGAAAGCGTTCTTGAAACACAACGCCACAATCAAGCTAAACTGGATACACAGTGCGAGGGGTCCTTGCCCGATTTTAAGACTCCCTTGGCATTAGAGCGGCGCGCCGCAGATTTGTTCACACTATCTACTTTTTACACTTTGCAGGAAGAGATTGAAGCTGCCTGCTTTTATTGCGAAGTTGTGGGCATTCGTGAGGATGGGGGGAATATTTATTACACCATCAAAGGGGATGGCACCACTACGTACACTGTAAAGCACGAGCCGGGCGGGTCCAGTACTATTTGCAGCTGCAAGATGTTCCAACGCTTGGGGCTAATTTGCAGACATATGTTCATGGTGTTCAAGGGTTCACATATACATCAATTACCATCCTAGTATGTTGTGGATCGTTGGTGCAAACACCTAGGATGCAATGCTTGCAGAGGGCAGCATGTTGATGGTGCCCCTCCAATATCAGGTGCCACAGAACTGTGGTCTGAGATAAACACGTGTGTCGGGATGGTAGGTGAGAGCACGGTGCGCCAAGCTCGGATGGTGCAGGTATTGAAAGAGTTGAGAGATGAATTCGCGAGCGACTGCGAGATCATCGGGGCAGCAAAGAGCAACAGGGCCACGATCGAGGCATTCTGTGGAGTCCAGCCACCACCATGTATAACCATTAAACCCCTGGCACAGGCAAAAAACAAAGGGAGTGGAAAACGTATTAAGAGCAACCGGGATATAGCCATAGAGAAGAGTGTCAAAGTCGGGCGAAAGTGTGGGGTGTGCGGTGAATACGCCCGTCATAATGCTCGTAGTTGTCCTTCCAAGCAAAGGGTAGTTTAGTTGAATTTTAATTTGATGTATTCCATAGCATAAGATAATTTACTCTTAGTATGTGCAATACTGCCATGTTGCTTTTGTTGCACTCTGTAAATGATTTCAATAGTTTGTCTATACTGATATTATGCTCTATTGCGCACACGGATCGAGTCTATCCCAGATATGTTATTTCCATTCACATGGTAATTCTTTGACACATGCACAGTGTATTATTCACTATGGAAATAAAATAGTCATGGACAGAAATTTGACATGCAGAACTATGTACCACTGGTTAGTTTAGTATATATGCAGAACTATGTTGGTTCAATAAATTAATTTAATTGCTTTTCCTGACTCCAGTGCACTAAGAACCTACTGTAATGAAAATATGCAAACCATAACGAATGCTTAATATTAACAAAGTTTGGCACCTGTGCATGCAATTCATAAGTAGCAATCTATTTAATAATTAAAATGGGCATAACTAAATACCATCCACAAAGCAGTAGCTAACTGGTTCCCAAATCTAAATGCACTAGCTCTGCACTAAAAACATTTAAAATTACTATTGCCAAGGTTAAATTGCTAGCCGCGATCAATGTTGGAGTTGAGTCACCCTTTGGACATCATATTGGCCGATGCGAGTGGCAATATTCCCCATGTTCTCATTTTCCTCACTCAACAAGATGTTGTGCAGGTAGCGTTTCCATAGATCGAGAAGCTGTTGGCTGTTCCCTTTCTGCAACCCACAGTCCTAGTTCCTGCACCTCTAACCGGTGTATGACTCCATATGCCGCATCGTAAAAACCGCGGAGTCTTGGGTGAACATGGTGGATCTCCATGGCATCTGCATCCGCTTTGGTTTCATGCTTGCTAGCCGAAATGCACGGAGCGTTTGAGATTTGCTATCAAAGTATACGCTTAGTAAGTCTATCTGCAACAAAGGGATTTGGGTAGTGAATATTATTTATCAATTACCACACCCCATGAGACCATCCTAAGGCATTGGGGTAAACACCAATAAATGTTAGTACCACAGACACATACCAACTCTGCTGGAGCACTACCATACATTTCTTTGTTCGTTTTGTTGGCAGATGAGCTGTCAATAATATCAAACCTAGAATGATCAAAACTTATGCTAATCATGTAGTACCGGCCCTTGTGCAAAATGGGGAAAATAAACTGCACCACAGACATATGTGTGCATTAGTTGTATACCATCCCGTAGTATAGAGTGTGGCGGAGTATTATATCAAAGTGTAAAAACGGTTACCATATCTATAGTCGCTGTCCCTTCATGGTGTGTAGTATTCAGTTCCTCATCTAGCCGCTTGTTGAACCACGTTATCCTCTCATCCTGGTTGGAGGAAATGCTCACGACGGTTCCAATCTGCACGCACATCTGTTTAATAGTGGGAGTTTATGGTGGGGTCATGCAGTTGGGTTTTAGATACTCACCGTGGCACTGGTTGAGAAATAGATTCGAGAAGGTTGCCCATCCCTCCGGTGTTTTTTCCTAGAATTGAGAACGCTACACCATGCATCAACTACATTCTTTGCCACATGTGTCCTTTCCATTAAAGTTCTGAAATCTGACCATCTGGCTTTTCACTTGTCATGCTGGAACAGCACCTCATTGCTAAAATGACAAACAAAATTGATGATGTCAAAGAGAAAGCAATACAGTGTTTTTAAATTAGGCTCAGTGTTTTAGCACCAGCAAAAGTTAAATCACTTTAATCATAGAAAAGAAGTTCCCTTTTCCCTCTACTTGCAAGTTCAATGTACCTCTACTATGTTGTACCATGCTTCCAATATTATTCTGATTTGGGAAACACCCACAACCAGACAACGTATATGGGTGGTAGAGGTGTGGTAGGGTAACCCAAGGTGGTCCTAAAAACCATGCCGGAAGGATATTCTTCCTGGATGACCGGCCCCTCCCGACCGCGATCTGCTCCATCACGCCTCTCGAGTGCTACCCATTGAGGAGAGAGCTGCAATACGGCCTCCATATGATTCACCTGAACGGGTACCTATCATCCGAAATTTGACAATGAGTTATCATACTAAAGCACGGCAATGAGTTATTTTTGGCACGAACCTGGGGTTCAGGTGTGGTAACATCTGCTTGTAAAGCCTGGTTCCGCTCTAGATTCTGCGTTGCCAACTCCTGTGTCATCCCAAGGCTAAAACTAGGAGCATCAACGCCCCCGATATTGTCCAATGCCTCAGCCTCCAGTCTATCCAACTCCTTGAAGAATTCTGGGTCGTGCCACATGGGGTCGTCGTGCGCATCTGATGTCGGGGCGGGGGGTTGATGATCCTCTTCTGCGACGGGCTCCACAATTAAACCAAGCAGTAATTTCGATGCAGCGGTGACCCGATCGAAATCCTAGTGTTGACGAGCTAGAGTGGGGTGTTGCCGTACCATATCAACAACCCGTGAAGCAACTGAAAGGAGGTCCCCGGACATGGTTGCAAACTCCTTGTCAAAGGCCTACATCAACATTGTTTATCAAACCACCTAATAAATGTTTTCCACGATAAAAGATGCGTTGCGGGCAAGGATAACACTATCATACTGTATTGCTTGGTGTTAGTAATTCGACGACCCGCACAAATTCCTTGGGCACCCCCCTCGTCTTGATAAGGGGGAACAAGCAGTCCTCGGGACCATGGACAGCACGTGGAGATCCTTCATACTCCACATCATCAAGCCGCCGTGGGGGGGTGTAAAAGTCCTCACCTGACACACTCTGATCATCAATTCCTACAGCCATTTGATGTGCATCCCCACCTGCGATTAAAGTAAATAAACCATTATTAAAAGAAAAGCGAGTATATATCTCAATTTTGGTAGCCTAAACTATACTGCTGCTCCGAGCTAGTCTAGCTAGCCTAAACTATACTTTTTCTTTGAAAAGTTGCTTCCAGGTCTTCTCCCTTAAGCTCCTCCCTCAACTTCTTCACCTGCAAACAATGGCCTCATCTCTGCAATAAATTGCAGATCAGCCTACAGCCATCTGCACAGCAGGTCTGCTCTTAGAGCTTCCCTCCTGCTGCCAGTACCCGAACACTGCTGTTCCCCTCAGTGACTGCCTAGCATAGCAGCCCATCACTGGGTGAAAGATCATGGGAGCTCAAGCCTCACTGCTCAGTCCCCCCCAGGATTGCCTCCTAACAAATCTGCTCAAGCCTCACTCCTTCCTTATTCTCCCAGCCCCTTTTAGAAACCATCAACCTCCCTTGTACCCCCCTCAATCCCCTCTGTATTTTCAAATAATATTTAATTTATCTAGATTTTTCAATGAAATAAATGTGAAAGTCGAAAAATTTAAAACCGTATAAGTTAATTCCAAACTTATAAAATCAAGAAATTTTAATCTAATAATCAGGTAACATACACCAAAAAATATATATACATCAATGATCGCACAAATTTATATATCAGAAGATATAAACCATTCAATATAAATAAATCTAACAAAATAAACAATAAAAATTACATGCTTTGGGGTGTGTGGGGTGTTTGGGAAAATTGCATACCATTTTTCGGGTGGATTAACTGGGGCGTATGGGGTGGGGTAGGTAGTATGGTTTACTGTGATTGCAGAGTTGGTTTCTTCTTATTTGCTGTCCAATTTGACATTCAAATTGCAGAGTTGCAGAGTTGGCATTCCCCGATTAATACACCCCAAACACCGTCGGAAATGGTATCACAGTGAAAGCCCACACCCAAACAAAAATTAAGATGAATTCAAAAACATGAGAAACACCGCTATCCTTTGAGAGTCTTCAGAAGAGACGACCGCGGAGGACGGGAGCCTGCCCGACGCTTGAAGGGGCGGTTCACCACCACGACTTTGCGCGAACCAGCGGATGAAGGCGTCGTCGGCACGAACTGATGCCCAGACCTACCCAACATCGACCGACGAGAGCCACTTGATCGCGCCATGAGCTATCACACAACCGGGCGGCAATAGCGAGAGGAAGCCAGAGATGCGAGCTATCGCCCAACTGGACGGGAAACGTCGATAGATACGCATGGATTCACTCCCGAGAGAATAGACAATTTGAATCCGATTTGGTTACATCAAATGTCCAACCGAAGGTGCACCACTGAAGTGCGGCGCACACCACTAGCATGTACCTTCACCCACAACCACCGATTAGTAAAAAAATGCACGGCTGAGATAAGTGCACATGTTCTCATGATATCTTAAATTCGCACCTGAACCCACACCTATATATATATATATATATATATATATATATATATATATATATATGTATATATATATATATGTATATATATATATATATGTATATATGTATATATGTATATGTATATATATATATATATATATATATATATATATATATATATATACATATACATATATACATATATACATATATACATATATACATATATACATATATACATATATACATATATATATATATATATATATATATATACATATATATATATATATATATATATATATATATATATACATATATATATATATATATATATATATATATATACACTATATAGACTTTCAAACTTTTTCGCACAGCACAACAATTGCTAAGCCAGAGATAAACCAAAAATCTTAACTAGATTGTTAGAGTATGGTGCACAGCGGAAATAAATAAACATAAAGTGTGTGTAAGATTGTGTGAGCAGTATATCTCTTGTAGAGAGAATATGTAAAGAGCTGTAAGTAAAGAAAGTAGTAAAGAACACAAGACAATTATAGTGGTTCGTGAGGTGGTGTAATCCTCCTACTCCACTTGCTCTTATCTCCAAGAGCAATTCACTATATCTACCACTCCTTGGTTCCAAGATACAATGAATTTCCGTGATCTAGTGCTTTGATCACAAAGCCCGCACTAATCACGCCCAGTGACACCACACTGCTGCTTCGGGTTTCACGTCGCCGCGCTACTATCCCAGGATTTCACGACTCCGTGTTACTTTCCCCCCGTCTTCCACACTCCGGTAG